CCCGCCGCTGAGCACGAATTTCGGGTTTGGTGTCAAGGTAAACTTTAATCTCGGCCTGGGGTAAAACGCGAAAAGTGGTGTCGCGACCTTCGGCTATCAGACCTTTTTGCGAAGTGTACTTCTTGAGCACCGCGTTAACGTAATCGCGCACGAAATCAAGCGTTGAAAGTTGCGAAGCGAGTTGGGAAATTGCGTCTGAACGTAGTTGGTGGCTCACGTCTTTGCCTTCCATCCAAACTTTTTCGTGGCGACGAAGTTCAAACATTTGCGGATCAAGCAGTCCGCGGATGCGCTCGTGGTCGTCAAGCGGCGTTTGGGAATTTTGGATTTTAAGAGCCACGGCCCGGTAAAGCAGTCCGGTGTTTAAGTAAAAAAGCCCCCAAATTTGACTCAGGCGGTGAGCGACTGATGACTTGCCAGCTCCGCTTGGTCCATCAATTGCGACGCTAAAACTAGGGCGGGCAGTTGGAGCGGTAAAACTTTGGGAAGAAGTTACGTCGGCCTGGTTAGAAAATTGCTGGGTAAACTTTTGCTTGTTTTTTCCGCTGCGTAAGTCATTGATTAAATCGGTTAGACGTCCGAGTGAAAAATTTAAATCGCTGAAATCGACTTTTTTCTGAGAAAAACTGCGCTCGATTTTTTCAATTTCGGCGAGAATGACCGGTAAATTTGGACAGGTAAACTCGGGCGGTGAATCGATTTGAGTCAGTTTGCCACCGAAAGATTGCTCGTCAAGCTGGTACTTCTGGTGGTAATCTGGAAAAGCTTGGACTAGTCTGCGGTTGAGAATTTGAAATTTTTCGCTTGAATTTTGAACCGCTTTTTGAAGTTTGATGTTTTCTTCAATTTGAGCGCGGTAATCTTTTCAAAGCGAAAAACGGGAAAGCGCGGAATTAGACATGGTAAGTTGATTATATGAAAAAGTCGGCTGCACAGATTTTACGCTGGCTTGTCTTGACCAGGCTTAATTTTAAGGTTGATGGTCTCATCAATCCACTCGGGCTGGTCTTGGCGCAAAGACTGGGTTTTTTTAATTTCCTCGATTTCCTTCTCCTTGCGACGAGCGAAAAAATAAACTAGACCCAGCGTGAGCGAAGGAACTAGACTGAGCGGAATTAACCAAGCTAAAAAAATCGGACTCGGCTCGCTGGGCTGATCGGCGTGAGCAAAACTTTTTGGCGAATTGGCCTCGACTAAGTGCGGAGAAGCGATAACTAAGGGAAAGAGCCAAGGGTAAGAGCCCATGCTAAGTTAAACCAAACTTTCTCGGACTAAAACTACCGTCTTGGAGCGACTTAGACAAATCTTTCATTTGTTTAGACATTCGATCAAATTCGTTAATTAAAAGGTTGTAGTCTTGAGCCGAGCGACCTGAGCCGCGCATGATCCGCTGCTTACGAGCGGCTTGTTTAAGCAATTTGGGCTCAAGACGCTCTTGACGAGTCATTGACTGAATTAAAATTTCAAAGGTTACTAATTTACGCTCAGCGCTGGCAATTTTCTCGGCCGGAATTTTCTGGGCCATGCCGGGAATCATTTGGAGAATTTTGCCCATTTTGCCCATTTTCTTAATTTGTTTGAGTTGGTCAATTAAATCGTTTAAGTTAAAGCGGCCGCTCGCTAGGCGGTGCATTAAACGTTGGGTCTGTTTTTCATCAACCACGTCTTGGGCTTTCTCAATCAAACTTAAAACATCGCCCATGCCAAGAATTCTTTCGGCCATGCGGTCGGGATGAAAAAGTTCAATTTGACCAACTTTCTCGCCCGTTCCGATTAGGACAATCGGAATCTTGAGCAAGTAGGTCAGCGAAAGAGCGGCGCCGCCGCGGGCATCCGAATCCAATTTAGTCAAAATAAAACCGCTGAGATCCAACTGATCGTGAAACGCTTTAGCCACGTTAATGATGTCTTGCCCAACCAGAGCGTCAACGACGAGGTAAATTTGGTGGGGACGAGCGATCTTTTTCAGATCGGCTAGTTCGTGCATTAACTCTTGGTTAATGGCTAATCGCCCAGCCGTGTCAATCACGACCAAATCAAATTCCTCTTGGCGGGCTTTTTTAAGAGCGTTAGTGACGATTTGCCGCGGATCAATTTGACCTTCGGAAAAAACCGGGATTTTATTCTGCTGTCCCAATGTGATGAGCTGGTCAATGGCCGCCGGACGGTAAATGTCAGCGGCGACTAAAAGCGGTTTTTTAATTTGGTGGTGTTGGCGGTAATAGCCGACTAACTTGGCGGCCGTAGTCGTTTTCCCTGAACCTTGCAAACCGATTAACATTACCACGTTGATCGGGCGGTGAAGAGCAATGCTTTTAGTTTTTTGACCTAGAACCTGAGTTAATTCGTCCCGGACAATTTTGACCATTTGTTGGGAGGGGTTGAGTTGACCAATTAAGTTTGAGCCGATTGCTTTTTCTTTGACTGCTTTAACAAAATCGCGCACGACGCCAAGATTGACGTCGGCTTCCAGCAGAGAAAGTTTGATCGAGCGGGTCACCTCCAAAATGTCGGCCTCGTTAATCGTGGTTTTAGCCTTGATTTTAGCCAGAGACTTTTGGAGACGTTTGCCTAAAAAATCTAACATTGTAAAGCAAATTATAGTTGAAAAGACCGCTGACAAAAAGGTTTAAAATGACTGAAAAAAGACGATTACAAAGTATAATTCCAGTGAAAAAAACGGCCTTAACCGCATGAACCAACTCATTATCGCTCTCCTAATCATCAGCCTGATCGGCACAATCTTAGCCATCGTAGCACTTCTTTACGGAATTGCCGCTTTGCGTAGACGAACGATTATGATCAAAAAACTTGACTACTTGATCGAAGACGTAACTTACAAATCGGAGATGCTCAACTCATCGGTTGAAACGGCCGCTAAAATGGCTAACTACCTTGACGTCTTTGAAGTGGTGGCTCGGAAAAATATCCAATCGCTAGCCAAACTGATGGCCCGCAACAAAGAAGACATTTACAAAGTTTTAGACCGCGTACGTAAGTTGGCTTTAGGCGAGCATAAAGACAAACGCAAAGGAGAGAAGTAAGCGTGAAAATTTCAACTTTATTTTGAATAGCAGCGGCGGTAATCGGCGGAATCTACGTCACTTCGGAGGAAGGCAAACAAGTGCGCCGAGTGCTTGAAAAAAAGCGCTCAGCTTTTAAACCGATCATTGAAGATTTGCTCCGCCAAGCCAACGAAATTTTGCAAGGCTCACAAGAAGTTAACTCCAGTCAAGTGCGCGCTAACGTCGAAAAGTTAGTCAAAGAAGCTAAGTCTACTTTGACCGAGATTGATTTGGAAAAGACAATCGACACCATTAAAGAGAGCATTCGGGTGGCGACTAAAAAAATTCGCCAAGCTTTTAACGAAACCGAGAAAAGTAAACCTTCCCGCTCTGAGCAACCTAAAACTGGTCGAACTTAAAAGTTATGCATTCCATTATCACGGATTTAGAAAATCGGCAACTCGTTAAAGACATAGCGAACCGTAAAAAACTGAAAAAACTGACCAACAAAATCGGTGTTTACGTCGGTTTTGACCCCAGCGCAAGCTCGCTTCACCTTGGCAACTATCTCCAAATCGCCCTGCTCCAACGTTTTAAACAAAAAGGTTTTGGTGCCTACGCCCTAGTCGGAGGAGCGACGGGCATGATCGGCGATCCATCGGGTAAAACTAGCGAACGAGCGCTTCTCAACGAAAAGCAAATTTTGCTCAACAAACACAAAATCAGCCAACAGTTAAAAAGTTTTGGTTTTAAGGTGGTGGACAACTACCACTTTTACCACGGAATGGACGTTTTACAATTTCTCAGAACGGTCGGCAAAAACGTCAACGTTAGTTACTTGCTGAGCAAAGAATTCATCAAAAAGCGAGTTAAGACTGGTCTTTCGTTCGCCGAGTTTGCCTACCAACTAATCCAAGGTTGGGACTACAAAGTAATGTACGAAAAATTTAATGTTCGAATTCAACTCGGCGCTTCGGACCAGTGGGGAAACATTACGACGGGGCTTGAGTTTATCCGTAAACTGGTTGACGAGGATCACCAAGCAATCGGGATTATGACCGAATTAATTACCACTCCAACGGGTGAAAAATTCGGTAAAAGCGAAGGTAACGCAATTTGGCTCGACAAAAACTTAACTTCCCCGTACCAACTTTACCAGTACCTTTTTAACAGCGAGGACCAGGCCGTTGAAAAACTTTTGCTCTGACTAACATTCCTAGACTTGAGAACGATTAAAAGAGCGATGGTAAGGCACGCTGCTCACAAACACAAGCGAATCGCCCAAAAACTGCTGGCTTACGAAGTAACTAAGGATGTTCACTCCAAAAAAGAGGCCGACCAGGCTCAAAAAATTTCCAGCGTTCTTTTTGGCGAAGAGAAAATTGAAACTTTGCAAACCGCCGATCTTTTGAGTCTGCGCACTAGTCTCCCCACGGTCAAATTTTCTAAGGGACTTTTAATTGAAGCGCTGATCAGCACCGGAGCCGCGCTTTCCAAACGCCAAGCGCGGGAGTTGATCGCTGAAAAGGCGATTGAGTTAAACGGCAAAGTGGTGAGCGACCCCAACCACTCGGTTAAACCGTCGCTCTTTAGCAAAAAAGTTAGCATCATCAAAAAAGGCAAACGCAACTTCTATTTGCTAGAACACTAAAGGCAACTATTTGGAGTAGTATTCAACGACTAAACTCTCGTTGATGTCGCGGTTCATTTCCGAGCGTTCGGGCCAGCGATCGTACTTGCCAACCAGTTTTTTGCGGCTAAGTCAACTAGCCGGTTGACGTGCTTCGATTGCTTCCTCAATGATGGCCACTTTTTGACTAGTTGGTTTAACTTCGATGCTTTGACCAACCTTAATCATCATGGACGGTATGTTGGCTTTTTGACCGTCAACCAAAAAGTGGTTGTGATTAACTAACTGACGAGCTTGTCGGCGGGTGCGGGCAAATCCCAACCGGTAAACAAGGTTATCTAACCTTGACTCAAGCGCAATTAAAAAGTTAGTGCCAGTGATTCCCTTACCTTTGGAAACTT